GACAGGAGCCCTCCATGGCTATAGGCTCAGACAGGACAGGACAGGAGCCCTCCGTGGCTATAGGCTCAGACAGGACAGGACAGGAGCTCGCCATGGCTATAGGCCCAGACAGGACAGGACAGGAGCCCTCCATGGCTATAGGCCCAGACAGGACAGGACAGGAGCCCTCCGTGGCTATAGGCTCAGACAGGACAGGACAGGAGCTCGCCATGGCTATAGGCCCAGACAGGACAGGACAGGAGCCCTCCATGGCTATAGGCCCAGACAGGACAGGACAGGAGCCCTCCGTGGCTATAGGCTCAGACAGGACAGGACAGGAGCTCGCCATGGCTATAGGCCCAGACAGGACAGGACAGGAGCCCTCCATGGCTATAGGCCCAGACAGGACAGGACAGGAGCCCTCCGTGGCTATAGGCTCAGACAGGACAGGACAGGACAGGAGCCCTCCATGGCTATAGGCCCAGACAGGACAGCACAGGAGCCCTCCATGGCTATAGGCCCAGACAGGACAGGAGCCCTCCATGGCTATAGGCCCAGACAGGACAGGAGCCCTCCGTGGCTATAGGCCCAGACAGGACAGGACAGGAACCCTCCATGGCTATAGGCCCAGACAGGACAGGACAGGAGCTCGCCATGGCTATAGGCTATAGCCATTTTTCATTAGGTCTACACTCTTGTAGCCTGAAATAATTGATGTGTCTTGCTGAAAAAACCTTTTTTGTGGAAAATAAAGTTGGGACACATGAAAAGGGGCTGAAACAGGTGGGTGTGTTCGTTTTAATATTTATTTAATTTTGGACACATATTTAACCCCTTTTTTTTGTTGGCACAAAACTACCTCCATACTTCCATAAATTTTTTTAACCGCTACCTTGTTACCTTCAGACGAGTACGTGACACTTACATAGAGCAAAACAGAGAACAGCATCGTGTTGGTGAGAGTCTCCCCTTTCCATAGTGGGGTCATATCAGTTTGTAGCCAGTTTGGACGCTACAGACAGAAGTTGGTACATCGGCGGTACCGACTTCAGACGAGTCCCGTGGGGGCTTGTCGGGGTTGCAGAGCAAGCCGGAGAACATCACCGTGTTCGCTAGAGTCAAATCAATCCATAGAGTGGTCATATTCGGGGGGGTTTTAGGCCAAACCTTTCGGACGTACAGACGTTTTTCGTGAGAAGCCCGATTTTCGGGATGTCTCATGGTCTGACAAACACCGCTGTAGCTCGGCCACCTTCCAAAATAGACGTCTCTAGTTTAAACTGATGGATTTTGATGGGAATGTTTTTTATTGTGTTACTTAGATTGACGCACGGGTCAATAGACTCTTAAGGACTAAAGGAGAATGGTTAACTTAGCATTATTTAGAGACCCCGACCAAAGTTTGAGTTTTGTTGTATTTAAGGGGGCTCATCTCTCATTCAGGGGGGTTGAGCCCCCCCCCTGGCCCCCCGTAATTCCCGCTATGCAGTATGCACATAGGTCAGCAGGACATAGCTTACCTGATGTGAAGCCAGATCAACAGAGGGTTTCCCATACGAGTCTTCAAAGCAATAAGCCTAGTTGTCTCTGCTTTAGTTTTGGTGATCGTGCGCTAAAACCATCCATAGAGCTGAGTGTGTCCCTGACAACCAAATACATCTACACATGGATTTATTTATGGCATTGGCATTTCATATTAATGAACCATATGAGAGAATGCAGAGTCTACATTCGGCTAATTGATTTGTGTGTGTGTGTGTGTGTGTGTGTGTGTTGGGGGGCCCCCGTTGGATGTGTACTCAGCCCCCTCCTTTACTCCCTGTTCACCCACAACTGCGTGGCCACACATGACTCCAACACCATCATTAAGTTTCCCTGATCGTCGACGGCGACGAGACAGCCGACTGGGAGGAGGTTAGAGCCCTGGCATAGTGTTGCCGGGGAAACAGCCTCTCCCTCAACGTCAGCAAAACCAAGGAGCTGATGGTGGACTACAGGAAACAGGGGGAGGAGCCCCTTTTGTCATCGACGGGGCTGCAGTGGAGAGGGTCAAAAGGTTCATGTTCCTCGGCGTGCACATCACTGAGGACCTGACATGGTCCAATCCCACCACCACCGTGGTGAAGGCGGCACAGCAGCCTGAAGGCGCCTGAAGAAATTTGGCATGGGCCCTCTGGGGGGGGCGAGCTCCCTGCCCTCCAGAACATCTACACCAGGCGGTGTCTGAGGAAGGCCCGAAAGATCGTCAAGGACTCCAGTCGCCCGAGCCCCACGGACTGTTCGCTCTGTTACCATCTGGCAAGCGGTCGCGGAGTATCGGGTCTCGGCACAACAGGCTCGAAGACAGCTTCGACCACCAGGCCATCAGACTGCTGAAAAGCTCAACCTAGCCATCTCCCTGCACAGACCTGCACCTTAGAGACTATATGCACTGACTGCCCACACATCCAAGCCTTACAAACAAACACCCATAAACACACACACACACACACACACACACACACACACACACAGTCAACGCTGCTGTTCTATTACACAGTCTACTATTGATTCCAAAACTTTATATTGGTAAATCCAGTGTGAAGTCCATTATTAATATGCATGCTACCTTTTTCTATTACATTGCTATTCCTGATTATTGATGAATGTTCTGCATTGTTGAGGGAGCTACCGCGAGCATTTCGCTGCACCTTTTATATACCTGCTGTAAAACTGGGTATGTGACCAATACGTTAAAGATTTGATTTCGCGTGTGTGTTTTAATACTAGAATCAAAAGTGACAATCAAGCTGCTGTGAATATACATCCCTTCAGCACAGTAGCTCAGCACAATGCCTGACCTGACCTGTACAGGGCATCGATTCACTGCCTCCCCCTGCTCTCCTTTCGACCATTCCTCCTCATTCCCACCTCCCCTTTGGGCCTACGAGGGATGGGGAGAGATGTTTCTAACAAAATCACAGTAGACTTTTGCTCCAAACCATCCATGTTTGACTGCTGCATTGAATGACCATATAAATATTCAAGACTGAACACGAGTGAAACCTTATAATACTCATTATGTGTCTCCTTGCAGACACGGCTTGATTGTAATCTATGCATATTTGGTGGACTGTTCAATGTCAAATAAAAAAAACGTGTACAAACACGAACTAATCTGATGGCGTAAAGGCTTCAACAAAATGCACCATGGATAATGAATTCAAGCTAGCTATAGCTGTCAAGTTTATGTGCTAATACCCGATGGATTGCAAGTGGGCAATTCCATGGTAAAGGAATTACGCTGACTCCCAATTTTTCACTTTAAAATGTATGCCAAACAAATACCATTGTTTTAAAATTGTATCAAAACATACAACTCTATGCACAATGTCCTTGGACTATATCGTTGTTTAAGACGATGAAACAAGCAAGACAGCCAGTCAGTCAGCCAGCTGGCTAGCGCCTTTAGCTAACCTAGCTACAGTCTGCAAGCTGTCAACTCACCCCTCTCTCGACGCCTGCTGTTTCTGACGAATAAAACACTCCCGAAAGTGAACACAGTGCAATAAACCCAACTGTCACGACGTGCTCTCGCTACCTGTCGCCAGTAACCTCCCGTTTCGCCGTGCATGAAGTGTCGGTTTGACGAATATCATCAGTTTAGTTATGCCAACAACATCCGATCCGCCTCTCACCTGCTCTTTTCTTCTCTGCTGGTTGGGTGGGAACAGAGCATGGACGTGAAGTGAACCCACAACCTCACAGCGGCGCATGCGCAAAGCCGGTATCGCGTCTCATTTTCACCTTTGACGGCAGCGGACGATAGATAATACATTCTGGTGATCGCAACATTGTATCTAAATGTACAAGCTGCAACATTGTATCCGACTGTTTGATTATGATATTGCATGCAATTCATGCGCCAAGAGTTCTATACTTCACAATGAAAATGTGAGTTTCCTCCTGATGTAAGATATATATCGATAAGCCAATAGAGGCCCATTGATAGACTTATAGGCCCTAACATACACATTTATTGATAACAGATGGGTGCGTGTTCAACCAGATAGATGAACGCATTTCTGAGAGCCTGCTTTATTGTTTGCCCTGATAATTTGTACAACAGCGCCATCCATAGACACAGTTTTAGATCACATGTTCTGAATGATATTGATAGCAAATGAATAATGCAAAATGGATGAGATACATTCGAGAAACTATAATAAGCCTTTGACATTTCAATTTCTACATTCCTGCATTCATATGCACTACTATAAACCAAATATTTATGAGGCTTTTTCTATCAAAATATGTTTAAAAAAAATATATATATATAATAATAATAATATTCCAAAAAAAATTATATCCCAAAGATTTTCCCATTGATTATTTTATTCAAAATATCTAGGAGCTTGTAGGCTGTATAGGCATGTTGTATCAAAAGCCTTAGACACGCAGGGGTAGTCTCTCTCTACATCAGCAGATGATTGTGTGTTTATTGCACCGCCATGGCATAGTGCGCATCTTGCCCTGCCACGGCCATAGCCAGGAGCACACTGACAGCTGGACAGACAGACAGACAGACAGCCATGGCATAGTGCGCATCTTGCCCTGCCACGGCCATAGCCAGGAGCACACTGACAGCTGGACTGACTGACAGACAGACAGCCGGACAGACGGACAGACAGACAGACAGACAACCAGCTAAATGTGTCCAGGGCGGTCACCTGATGATTGCTCAGTCTTGACCCACCGTTCAGGAATACACTATATTACACTTAAAGAACCAACACGCAATGTGATTCAGATTGGTACAAAAGGTATGTGTGGAATATGTATACTTTTATTATTGTTTTCAATAACGTTATTTCTTATCTACCGTGGGCGTGTAACGTGGCAATAACAGTTATTTTGTCGTTTGACAGGTTATTATTGTGCCATGACAGCTTGCCTTGAGAGAGTAGCCTACTGCAGCACAATGTTTTAGATATCAATTGAAAGTCAGCTATATTCACAACCGGTAAGGACAACGAGAGTGTCTGTCAACTAAGTGTACATTTGATGACCAGGTAGTTTTTCTGCAGTGATTGAAAGAAGATGACGGTGACTTATTCCAGCAAAGTAGCCAACGCCACGTTCTTCGGTTTCCATAGACTTCTACTGCGATGGAGAGGCAGCATCTATAAGCTGCTTTATCGGGAGTTTATAGTCTTTGTACTTTTATATACCCTGGTGAGCCTCGTTTACAGGTACGCATAATATTAAAGCTATTAAGGGGTTTTCTTTTTTTTATGTTATTTGTTTATGTATAATCTATAACATGATGTATTGTATGTTTATAATCTGTTTATAACTGTGATGTGAATACAAATGAAGGTGTAATATGAGCCTTTGATTTGACTTTGTGTGATGGGTCTGTAATTGATTCGTATCGCTGTGATATATCAATAATTGCATGTGAACAAATCTCTAATGTTCCTTCATTAATTAACATATCTATCTATCTATCTATCTATCTATCTATCTATCTTTCTAGACTTGCTCTCTCAGACCCTGAAAAGCGTTTCTTTGAAAAGTTGGCTATTCACTGTAACAAGTATGCTGAACAGATCCCAGTCACGTTTGTGCTTGGTAAGTCAGGACAAACAATGCTGATTGACGTGCGTGCGTGCTTGCTGAGCAGTTGATAGTCCACATAGCGTATAAACACTATGAGCTACCAGCTCTGTGCTGAGATGAGAATGCCTATTGCTACCTGAGTACTGTATGGTGCTGTCCAGATGTGCTGAAAGTGCTTTACAATTTTAAGTGGGAAATTCACCTCATCCACAACCCCATGTGTAGCTTGCCTGGCTACCCGAACTCTTCGCTCCAGCCAAACGCTACGCCACGCCCACTGACGTTAGTTTCCTCTCCCCAATGACGTAGCGAACAAGAATTCAGTTTGAGTCGTCAGGTAAATGTGTAGCACCCACCCACCTGTATCAGCCATCTAAAAACGGAAATGACAACAGTGCAATACTAGACTTGCCACTGCCCTCACTGTCCTCTCTCTCTCTCTCTTTCTCGATCACCACACACACACACACACACACACACACACACACACACACACACACACACACACACACACACACACACACACACACACACACACTGCAACAACTGTCTGACTTGCTTTCTACTATCCAACCAAATTAACCCAACTAATCCTCAACAGTGCCAGGCAACAGACTAATGATAGTGATTTTTCAACAGAAGCTCTCAGACATACACTGTTTCCAGTGGGGGAAATTAACTGGTGATTGAGTTAATGGAAGGAAATCATTAGGAGTCGACCCAAAGCAGGGAAAGTGGGACATTGTTGGGTTTGTTGGTTTGCGTGGGTGCTAGAGTGCTTTGCATGGCATATCAGATTGTTGCTTAATGTTGTGTTTCTGTGTGAATTGCACAAAGTGGCTTTCATGACATTTACATATCTCAGTTTATGTCAATAAAATATTGGTAAGGACTGGGATGAAGTTGCCCTAGACAATGATCTAGGGTCAATTTTGTGTGTTGAGCTTGAGGCTCAAATGTAGCCTCAAAAGTACTGCACTATGTAGGAAATGAAATGCCATTTCAGAAGCAGCCCTTCTCAACCCAAACCTCATCCTTGGTTTCTACTGTAGGCATACCTGACAAAATACTGTTTAGACTTACTGTAGATCAGTGCTTTCCAACCCTGTTCCTGGAGAGCTACCGTCCTGTAGGTTTTCACAGGATTGGAGTTAAAACCTCTCTCCAGGAACAAGGTTGGAGTTAAAACCTACAGGAGGGTATCACTCCAGGAACAGGGTTGGAGTTAAAACCTACAGGAGGGTTATCTCTCCAGGAACAAGGTTGGAGTTAAAACCTACAGGAGGTTATCTCTCCAGGAACAGGGTTGGAGTTAAAACCTACAGGAGGGTTATCTCTCCAGGAACAAGGTTGGAGTTAAAACCTACACGAGGGTTATCTCTCCAGGAACAGGGTTGGAGTTAAAACCTACAGGAGGGTTATCTCTCCAGGAACAGGGTTGGAGTTAAAACCTACAGGAGGGTTATCTCTCCAGGAACAGGGTTGGAGTTAAAACCTACAGGAGGGTTATCTCTCCAGGAACAAGGTTGGAGTTAAAACCTACAGGAGGGTTATCTCTCCAGGAACAAGGTTGGAGAGCCCTGTTGTAGATGATCTTGATATCTCCTCCTATCCTCATCTTCCTCCTCCCTTGCAGGTTTCTATGTGACCCTGGTGGTGAACCGCTGGTGGAACCAGTTTGTGAATCTGCCTTGGCCCGACCGTCTCATGTTCCTGGTCTCCAGCTGTGTTCACGGTCACGATGAGCAGGGTCGCCTCCTCCGACGCACACTGATGCGCTACGTCAACCTCACCTCGCTGCTCATCTTCCGTTCCGTCAGCACCGCCGTCTGTAAGAGGTTCCCCACCATGGAGCATGTGGTGGAGGCAGGTACGACCCCCAAGGGAATAATGGAATGCAAATAGATGGGGTCATGGGTAAAAAAAATCATATTGACAGATAGACGCTGTACATAACGTCATGGACCAAGTGGTGGAAGCAGGTACCTCAATGACCTCCACTTGGCCTTACCTGACCCCAATAGAATACACATAGGTGGGGTCAAAGGTCGACCAGGTTTGGTTTACGGGTTTGATTCAGATCAAGAGTGTTCTCTCAACCTTCAGTTTGAAACGATATTTGGTGACTTCCATGCTTTTCCCATATTTTCCATAAATGTTTAATTGGTAAAGAGGATGCTTGACATGTGAGAGTTCAACAAGGATGTGTAACTGGACCTTCAAGGCCCATAGCTCTTTTCATTTGCTTCTTCAGTTTCCTTTGACTACCCAGAATCAGCCAAATCATTATGATTCAGTGATTCAATTAGACCTAATAAAAGCCTTGTTTCCTCTAACCCTTATGATTCTCCTAGTACTGCTGTATCCATTACACACTTACACCTCTCCATCCTCTCCATCCTCCTCTCCATCCTCTCCATCCTCCTCTCCATCCTCCTCTCCATCCTCCTCCCCATCCTCCTCTCCATCCTCCTCTCCATCCTCCTCCCCATCCTCCTCTCCATCCTCCTCTCCATCCTCCTTCCCCTCCTCCCCCTCCTCCTCTTCCCTCTCCTCCTCCTCCTCCTCCTCCTCCTCCTCCTCCTCCTCCTCCTCCTCCTCCTCCTCCTCATCCTCCCTCTCTTCCTCCTCCCCCTCCTCCTCCTTCTCCTCCTCCTCCTCCCTCTCTTCCTCCCCCTCCTCCTCCTTCTCCTCCTCTCTGCAGGCTTCATGACTCCAGAAGAGAGGAAGATCTTTGATGCTGTCAAGTCTCCCCACCTCAAGTACTGGATCCCTGTGGTGTGGTTTACTAACATGGCATCCAAGGCTAGGACGGAGGGGCGCATAAAGGACAGTGTGGACCTGCAGACCATCCTCAACGTGAGTATGGCAGTAGCTTCAACAGGTATAGATAGATATAGTATACCTGCCACAGGAAACAGAGGAGACATTTTGGCTCTGAATCCTGTGTTCTGCAGAGGTTGTAGACTGGACCATGTGGACCTCCAGACCATCCTCAACGTGAGTATGGCAGTTACCTGAGCAAAGCAGAGATATACCAGTAAAGAGAGGAAACACAGAGTCTATTCCGGCTCTAAATAGAGGAGATTGACTCCATTTTGGCCCTGAATCATGGGAGACACAGGGGACACATCCAGGATAGCATGGACCTGCAGACCACACTCAATGTATGACAGCAGTATGACAGTAGCTTGACAGTAGCTTGCCAGTCCAAAATCAACCCCTATCTAACCCTTTGATGTTAGCACATCTGTAAGGAGTACACAATATGATGGGAGCTCTACCACTAAGATGGTTATACCGACCTTTCAGATCTACTAACGTTAGACAGATAGGGCCAAGGGGAAGGGGAAGGGAGCAATTTGGGACCGGGACATACCCGTCACAGTAAACAGGACCGGGACATACCTGTCACAGTAAACAGGACCGGGACATACCCGTCACAGTAAACAGGACCGGGACATACCCGTCACAGTCAACAGGACCGGGACATACCCGTCACGGTAAACAGGACCGGGACATACCCGTCACAGTAAACAGGACCGGGACATACCCGTCACAGTAAACAGGACCGGGACATACCCGTCACGGTAAACAGACCGGGACATACCCGTCACAGTAAACAGGACCGGGACATACCCGTCACAGTAAACAGGACCGGGACATACCCGTCACAGTCAACAGGACCGGGACATACCCGTCACGGTAAACAGGACCGGGACATACCCGTCACAGTAAACAGGACCGGGACATACCCGTCACAGTAAACAGGACCGGGACATACCCGTCACAGTAAACAGGACCGGGACATACCCGTCACAGTAAACAGGACCGGGACATACCCGTCACGTAACAGAACCGGGACATACCCGTCACAGTAAACAGGACCGGGACAATACCCGTCACAGTAACAGGACCGGTGACATACCCGTCACAGTAAACAGGACCGGGACATACCCGTCACAGTAAACAGGACCGGGACATACCCGTCACAGTAAACAGGACCGGGACATACCCGTCACAGTAAACAGGACCGGGACATACCCGTCACAGTAACAGGACCGGGACATACCCGTCACAGTAAACAGGACCGGGACATACCCTCACAGTAAACAGGACCGGGACATACCCGTCACAGTAAACAGGACCGGACATACCCGTCACAGTAAACAGGACCGGGACATAACCCGTCACAGTAAACAGGACCGGGACATACCCGTCACAGTAAACAGGACCGGGACTACCCGTCACGTAAACAGGACCGGACATCCCGTCACAGTAAACAGCCGGGACATACCCGTCACGGTAAAAAGGACCGGGACATACCCGTCACAGTAAACAGGACCGGACATACCCGTCACAGTAAACAAGACCGGGACATACCCCCTCACAGTCAACAGGACCGGGACATACCCGTCACAGTCAACAGGACCGGGACATACCCGTCACAGTAAACAGGACCGGGACATACCCGTCACAGTAAACAGGACCGGGACATACCCGTCACGGTAAACAGGACCGGGACATACTCGTCACGGTAAACAGGACCGGGACATACCCGTCACAGTAAACAGGACCGGGACATACCCGTCACAGTAAACAGGACCGGGACATACCCGTCACAGTAAACAGGACCGGGACATACCCGTCACAGTAAACAGGGCCGTGACATAACCCGTCACAGTAAACAGGACCGGGACATACCCGTCACAGTAAACAGGACCGGGACATACCCGTCACGGTAACAGGACCGGGACATACCCGTCACAGTAAACAGGACCGGGACATACCCGTCACAGTAAACAGGACCGGGACATACCCGTCACAGTAAACAGGGCCGGGACATACCCGTCACAGTAAACAGGGCCGGGACATACCCGTCACAGTAAACAGGACCGGGACATACCCGTCACAGTAAACAGGACCGGGACATACCCGTCACAGTAAACAGGACCGGGACATACCCGTCACAGTAAACAGGACCGGGACATAACCCGTCACAGTAAACAGGTCCGGGACATACCCGTCACAGGTAAACAGGACCGGGACCATACCCGTCCACAGTAAACAGGACCGGGACATACCCGTCACAGTAAACAGGACCGGGACATACCCGTCACAGTAAACAGGACCGGGACATACCCGTCACAGTAAACAGGACCGGGACATACCCGTCACGGTAACAGGACCGGGACATACCCGTCACGGTAACAGGACCGGGACATACCCGTCACAGTAAACAGGACCGGGACATACCCGTCACGGTAAACAGGACCGGGACATACCCGTCACAGTAAACAGGACCGGGACATACCCGTCACAGTAAACAGGACCGGGACATACCCGTCACAGTAAACAGGACCGGGACATACCCGTCACGGTAAACAGAGAGAGAGACAGATGTCATTCTGGACACAGAGACTCCATCCTCTGTATCCTGGGAGCTGTAGGTCAGGGGTCGAACCAAACTGTTACGACCTTTAATCCAGGAAGGATGAATACGATCCTAAAAACAGCCGACAGGCCACTTGATACCTTGAGGACAGGTCATGGAAGAGATGACTAGTCCAAGACTGTCTGCTAAACCCAAGGCATGCTGAGTGAGAGACATCCTTACAAGGAGTAACATTATAGACTTGGACTTAAATATTGTTAAATTACAGCTCCTTTAATAGTGAAAATAGATATGAAATGCAATGATATATTGCCGCATTGACCCTCACTAACACTATGCTAAACTCTGAGCCTGTCTAATCTATTAATACTACCTTGATCCTAAAAAGGGTCTGGATCATGTTGCTGTGAGCACGTCTGCCTATCAAAATAGCCCTCTGTGTGTGTGTGTGTGTGTGTGCTTGTAAATAGCTGCAAAGGCAAACTCAGTGCAACCCCATGCTCTGTCTTCTCTCTCTCTCTCTCTCTCTCTCTCTCCTCTCTCTCTCTCTCTCTCTCTCTCTCTCTCTCTCTCTCTAGGAGATGAACACGTTTAGGACTTGGTGCTCCACTCTCTTTGGTTATGACTGGGTTGGCATTCCTCTCGTCTACACACAGGTGTGGATAGCACGCATGCACACACACACACACACACACACACACACACACACACACACACACACACACACACAGAATCTGCTGCCACTGTGCTACTATAACCCACACTGTCCTTCCATGTCTCCTTTAAAACCCAGTGGGTTGTGACAGTGTGGAAGCCTAGGGCACGGTACCCAGTGGGTTGTAACAGTGTGGAAGCCTAGGGCAGGGTACCCAGTGGGTTGTGACAGTGTGGAAGCCTGGGGCACGGTACCCAGTGGGTTGTGACAGTGTGTAAGCCTAGGGCACGGTACCCAGTGGGTTGTGACAGTGTGGAAGCCTAGGGCAGGGTACCCAGTGGGTTGTGACAGTGTGGAAGCCTGGGGCACGGTACCCAGTGGGTTGTGACAGTGTGGAAGCCTAGGGCAGGGTACCCAGTGGGTTGTGACAGTGTGGAAGCCTAGGGCAGGGTACCCAGTGGGTTGTGACAGTGTGGAAGCCTGGGGCACGGTACCCAGTGGGTTGTGACAGTGTGGAAGCCTGGGGCACGGTACCCAGTGGGTTGTGACAGTGTGGAAGCCTAGGGCACGGTACCCAGTGGGTTGTGACAGTGTGGAAGCCTAGGGCAGGGTACCCAGTGGGCTGTGACAGTGTGGAAGCCTAGGGCACGGTACCCAGTGGGCTGTGACAGTGTGGAAGCCTGGGGCAGGGTACCCAGTGGGTTGTGACAGTGTGGAAGCCTATGGCAGGGTACCCAGTGGGTTGTGACAGTGTGGAAGCCTGGGGCAGGGTGCCCAGTGGGTTGTGACAGTGTGGAAGCCTGGGGAAGGGTACCCAGTGGGTTGTGACAGTATGAGCCTGGGGCAGGGTACCCAGTGGGTTGTGACAGTGTGGAAGCCTGGGGCAGGGTACCCAGTGGGTTGTGACAGTGTGGAAGCCTGGGGAAGGGTACCCAGTGGGTTGTGACAGTGTGGAGGCCTAGGGCAGGGCATTTGAATCAGCTGTGTAGTGCTAGGGCACCCAGGAGGGGCCCCGGGACCAAGAATGGGAAACCCTGGCCTAGAGGATGGCTCCCCTCTCTCCCCCTCTCCAATCCCTCTCTCTCTCCACTCCCTTTCCCTCTCTCACCCTCTCTTCCCCCGTCTCCCCCTCTCTCCCCCTCTCTAATCCCTCTCTCTCTCTCTACACTCCCTTTCCCTCTCTCACCCTCTCTTCCCCCTCTCCCCCGTCTCCCCCTCTCTCTCTCTCCCCCTCTCTTCCCCCGTCTCCCCTCTCTCCCCCTCTCCAATCCCTCTCTCTCTCCACTCCCTTTCCCTCTCTCACCCTCTCTTCCCCCGTCTCCCCTCTCTCCCCCCTCTTCCCCCCCGTCTCCCCCTCTCTCCCCCTCTCCAATCCCCCTCTCTCTCCACTCCCTTTCTCTCTCCACTCCCTTTCCCTCTCTCCCCCTCTCTTCCCCCGTCTCCCCTCTCTCCCCCCTCTCTAATCCCTCTCTCTCTCCACTCCCTTTCCCTCTCTCACCCTCTCTTCCCCATCTCCCCTCTCTCCCCCTCTCCACTCCTCTCCCTCTCTCCTCCCCTCTGCTCTCCCCCTCTCACCCTCTCTCCCCCCTCTCCAATCTCTCTCCACTCCCTCTCCCTGCCTCACCCTCTCCCCCCCTCTCCACTCCCTCTCCCTCTCTTCCTTCTGCTCTCTCTCACCCTGTCTTCCCCCGTCTCCCGTCTCCCCTCTCCCCCACTCACCCTCTGCTCTCTCTCACCCCCCTTCCTCTCTCCCCACGTCTCCGCTCTCTCTCTCCCCTAGGGGCAATAAGCCCTCTGCTCCCATTCCTTCCCCTCAACCGGTTCCAACCAGCTGTGGCTCATGATGCCGTATTGTCCCTTTCTGATGAGCACATCCAGGGCAGCTTACTGTTACACCACACAATGATTACAGAGTCATGGAGAGTTCAGAGTAATGGATGGGGTAGCAGGACCTGAGGATAGGATGTGTTCTCTATAGCCGTTGGCTAATTGGATAGCTGCCTCTATCTCTCTGCGGTCTGTATGAATTGCCAGTGTGCCCTCTGGCGAGTCAGGTGACATCTGGTGACTGTTTTCTAAGTGTTCTAATGACCTGCCCAGGGACTGCAGTTGAAAATTAGCCGGCTGACTACAACTGGCACTTTTACAGTAATGTTGATTAAGGTGCACTGTCCCTTTAAAACTACATGTATTAAAGTCAAGTCAAGTTTCATGTGACGTTTGTAGACTGATTTGTTGCTGTTCAGGCAGCAGCACTGTGAATTAAATGAAACCATCGGCGTGATCGTGATCAGTTTTCAGAGGCTATGTAATCTCAGACAGTAAATCACATCAATGGAATGACTTAGTTCTCATTGGCCATGAGTGTCTCAGCCAACAATGAAAATACTCACATGGTCACATGGTCACATGGTCACATGTCAAATAAATCCTGTTTATTTACATTGTGTTTATTAATATTATGGACTTGTAAATAGCTACAAAGACAAACTGTGGAACCATGCTCTCTATTTGTCTCTTTCCCCTCTCTCTCTCCCTCTCTCTTCTCTCCCTCCCCCCTCTCTCCGCCTCTCTCTTCTCTCCCTCCCCCCTCTCTCCCCCTCTCTCTTCTCTCCACCCCCCCCTCTCTCCCCCTCTCTCTTCTCTCCCTCCCCCCTCTCTCCACCTCTCTCTTCTCTCTCTCCCCCTCTCTCCCCCCTCTCTCTTCTCTCCCTCCCCCTCTCTCCCCCTCTCACTTCTCTCCCTCCCCCTCTCTCCCTCTCCCTCCCCCTCCCCCTCCCCCTCCCTCTCTCTCCCCCTCCCCTCTCTCTCTCCCCCTCCCCTCTCTTCTCTCCCTCCCCCTCTCTCCCCCTCTCTCTTCTCTCCCTCCCCCTCTCTCTCCCTCTCCCTCTCTCTCTCTCTCTCTTCTCTCCCTCTCCCTCCCCCTCCCCCTCTCCCTCCCTCTCTCTCCCCCTCCCCTCTCCTCTCTCTCCCCTCCCCCTCTCTTCTCTCCCTCCCCCTCTCTCCCCCTCTCTCTCCCCTCCCTCCCCCTCTCTCTCTTCCTCCCTCCCCCCTCCCCCTCCCCCTCTCTCCCCCTCTCTCTCTCTCCCCCTCCCCCCTCCCTCTCTCCCTCTCTCTCCCCTCCTCTCTCCCCCTCTCCCTCCCTCTCTCTCCCCCTCCCCTCCCCTCTCTCTCTCCCCTCTCCAGGTAGTAACCCTGGCTGTCTATACCTTCATCTTCGCCTGTATTATCGGTAGACAGTTCTTGGACCCAGCTCAGGGATACCCAGGTCATGACCAGGACCTATACGTCCCCATCTTCACTATGCTGCAGTTCTTCTTCTACTCTGGCTGGCTCAAGGTGTGACGCACGCACGCACGCACGCACGCACGCACGCACGCACGCACGCACGCACGCACGCACGCACGCACGCACGCACGCACACACACACACACACACACACACACACACACACACACACACACACACACACACACACACACACACGGTTGTTATTGTAGTCCAGCTGGCTCAAGGTCCTGTCCTCCACAAACCTCTTTACCTTTTGGTTTCAACCAGGGAAATTAGATCCTGGTCCTCATATCACAGTGCTGTGAATAACAATGTGGGGTTGTGATCTTATTATGAATGTCTTGTGAGAGGGGATGTGGGGTTGTGATGTTATTATGAATGTCTTGTGAGAGGGGATGTGGGGTTGTGATGTTATTATGAATGTCTTGTGAGAGGGGATGTGGGGTTGTGATGTTATTATGAATGTCTTGTGAGAGGGGATGTGGGGTTGTGATGTTATTATGAATGTCTTGTGAGAGGGGATGTGGGGTTGTGATGTTATTATGAATGTCTTGTGAGAGGGGATGTGGGGTTGTGATGTTATTATGAATGTCTTGTGAGAGGGGATGTGGGGTTGTGATCTTATTATGAATGTCTTGTGAGAGGGGATGTGGGGTTGTGATCTTATTATGAATGTCTTGTGAGAGGGGATGTGGGGTTGTGATGTTATTATGAATGTCTTGTGAGAGGGGATGTGGGGTTGTGATGTTATTATGAATGTCTTGTGAGAGGGGATGTGGGGTTGTGATGTTATTATGAATGTCTTGTGAGAGGGGATGTGGGGTTGTGATGTTATTATGAATGTCTTGTGAGAGGGGATGTGGGGTTGTGATGTTATTATGAATGTCTTGTGAGAGGGGATGTGGGGTTGTAATGTTATTATGAATGTCTTGTGAGAGGGGATGTGGGGTTGTGATGTTATTATGAATGTCTTGTGAGAGGGGATGTGGGGTTGTGATGTTATTATGAATGTCTTGTGAGAGGGGATGTGGGGTTGTGATGTTATTATGAATGTCTTGTGAGAGGGGATGTGGGGTTGTGATGTTATTATGAATGTCTTGTGAGAGGGGATGTGGGGTTGTGATGTTATTATGAATGTCTTGTGAGAGGGGATGTGGGGTTGTGATGTTATTATGAATGTCTTGTGAGAGGGGATGTGGGGTTGCAGGGTGTTGTCTGCACAGCTGCTGCACAATGTCTGACAATCAATTTCATTGGATGAAAATGGGTTTTTGTAAGGAGTTGAAGTATGGAACCCAAATTCTGTAGACAGTAAGATTATCTATGCCTTGTTTTGTGGATTTCATTTGTCAACCAATGTTGTAATCCCTGGTGTCACATGATTGCCTGTTGTATGCTATCACTTCCTTATCAATACATATTTCTGGGATAATGAACAGTGATGTGAGAGATCCTTCTCATTCAGGTTGCTGAGCAGCTCATTAATCCATTTGGGGAGGATGATGATGATTTTGAGGCTAACTGGTGTATCGACAGAAATCTGCAGGTTAGTTTCAATCAATCAATCAATCAATCAATCAATCAACCAAACATTTGTTGCAAAGTGCCTTACAGTAACCCAGCCTAGTTCTCATGTCTTTCCCAAGCCAATATCATTGATTGACATGTCATTTGTGCCAATCAGTCATTCAGTCAATAAATCTGTGTCTCAGGTGTCGTTGATTGCGGTGGATGAGATGCATATGAACTTCCCTCCAATGACGAAAGACATTTACTGGAACGACTCTGACGCTCTGCCTCCTTACACCCTGGCCGCTGCCGACTACTGTATACCCTCATTCCTAGGATCCACCAGAGAGTTGGAGTGAGGACATGAGAACACGACACACCCTTGCACACACACACACACACTACACACACGCTGCACACACACACACTACACACACGCTGTACACACACACACACGACACACCCTTGCACACACACACACACTACACACACGCTGTACACACAAATGTATACTCAAGTCCTACGCATGCAAGGACACGCGTGTAAAAACAAACTCCCATCTCTTCTCAGCTAGATATCTGAATGAGAGGAGATGGAGAAGAGGGCATGACTAGAGAGGATACAGCTTATGTGTCAAATTGACACGTTTTATCTAACCCTAACCCTTTTCCCAGTCTCGTGTTGCCATAACCTAATTCTCCTAACCTGCTATGAAAAGTAAATTCTGGTCTATTCTGTCATAAACTGTATACTATCTAGTCAAAACCGTTATTATTCACTGTAATATCCATAAACTGTATATTATCTAGTCAAAACCGTTATTATTCACTGTAATATCCATTAACTGTATACTATCTAGTCAAAACCATTATTATTCACTGTAATATCCATAAGCTGGATACTATCTAGTCAAAACCATTATTATTCACTGTAATATCCATAAACTGTATACTATTTAGTCTAACGTATTCACTGTAATATCCATAAACTGTATACTATCTAGTCTAACGTATTCACTGTAATATCCATAAACTGTATACTATCTAGTCAAAACCGTTATTATTCACTGTAATATCCATAAACTGTATACTATCTAGTCTAACGTCTTCACTGTAATATCCATAAACTGTATACTATTTAGTCTAACGTATTCACTCTAATATCCATAAACTGTATACTATCTAGTCAAAACGTATTATTCACTGTAATATCCATAAGCTGTATACTATCTAGTCTAATGTATTCTCTGTAATATCCTCTATCTCCCCATCTATCTTTCAGTCTATCGGGCATTCTGCAGTTCGAAGAGGCAGACAAAATGGGCATTCACAGACAGGACAGCCACAACGGCAATCACAACTTCCGTCTGGGTCGTAAAACGTCTGTCATGGGGCACATGCGGAGGCTACTCAGCGTTCAGGATCCCCCAGAGCTCGTCCGTCCTCGGCCCTCCTTCAAACGTCACAGCAGTGAAGCCTTCTTCCCCTACAGACCTGACTCATGTGGCTACCCTGGATCAGACGACCAGGCTCCCCCAGGACCGGATCCCTCTCTGTTCCCCAGACCCAACCTCTTTAACTCCCACAACCCCCTCTCGCCCAACCACTCTCTGGATACGCTACGGGAGGTTAGTAGTACCCATTCTTCCTTGGACACTGAGCCCCGTACGCCGTCCTTCCCAGAACTGCCTCAATGGGTGGTAACTCCACCTGCTCTTTCAGGTGATCATGGGAATAGTGGTTATGGGGGTGATGGAGGGACGTGTGGTGCATTATCTGGGGCTCCACAACCCCTGAATCATATACAGGCCTTCTGTCCACAGACAGGGCATGAGCAGGCCTCAAGTAAGCCAGGGACTCCAGTAGATCTGTCCCCCATTGTGGAGGCTCTGGGCCTGAATGCTAATCAGGGCTACAGCTCTACCCAGCCGGGTCCCAAGAACTGTCGCTGGAATGTCCCCAAAGACTGGTGTAAGCCACGGCGACGTCAGCTGTCCTTCCAGTTCTCCAGACAGGGCTCGAAGAGCTCCCTGCACAGCCTGCCCAGTCCTAAGGGCCTAGGGAGGAAGAGAGGCCTAAACGCTTCCACAGCCCTCCACTTTCCTGCTGAGCCTGCCCAGTTCCAAGCACTGCAAGTCCCAGAGACAGACATTCTGGAGTCCAATGGTCAGGAGAGTGACAAGAAGGACACCAATGACAGCTAAGAGAACAAGGACAAGTCACAATCAGGGAACTCGTAATATTCTCCTCACATACAGTACATATCAACCTGCTGTGCCCTAATATGGGTGTATCCATAGAATGAGTGATTTAATAGGATCTCTAAGGGTGTACCCAGCATTATTATTAGACACACTAATAAACACCATAATAAATGCCTTAATAATGGTCCCAACCTGTCGTGCCTTTCTAAGTATAGACAATGAGGCTTCTTTAATAATATATTACTATGCTGCTGTTTTAATAATATATTATCATGCTGCTGTTTTAAAAATATATTACCATGCTGCTGTTTTAATAATATATTACCATGCTGTTGTTTTAATAATATATTACCATGCTGCTGTTTTAATAATATATTATCATGCTGCTGTTTTAATAATATATTACCATGTTGCTGTTTTAATAATATATTATCATGCTACTGTTTTAATAATATATTACCATGCTGATGTTTTAATAATATATTACCATGCTGCTGTTTTAATAATATATTATCATGCTGCTGTTTTAATAATATATTACCATGCTGCTGTTTTAATAATATATTATCATGCTGCTGTTTTAATAATATATTATCATGCTGCTGTTTTAATAATATATTACCATGCTGCTGTTTTAATAATATATTATCATGCTGCTGTTTTAATAACATATTATCATGCTGCTGTTTTTATACTTTCTAAGTATAGACAGTGAAGCTTCTTTAATAATATATTACTATGCTGCTGTTTTAATAAAATATTATCATTCTGCTGGTTTTAATAATATATTACCATGCTGCTGTTTTAATAATATATTATCATGCTGCTGTTTTAATAATATATTATCATGCTGCTGTTTTTATACTTTCTAAGTATAGATAGTGAAGCTTCTTTAATAATATATTACCATGCTGCTGTTTTAATAATATATTATCATGCTGCTGTTTTAATAATATATTACCATGCTGCTGTTTTAATAATATATTACCATGCTGTTGTTTTAATAATATATTATCATGCTGCTGTTTTAATAATATATTACTATGCTGCTGTTTTAATAACCATGCTGCTGTTTTAATAATATATTACCATGCTGCTGTTTTAATAATATATTACAATGCTGCTGTGTTAATAATATATTACCATGCTGCTGTTTAATAAAATATTACCATGCTGCTGTTTTAATAATATATTACAATGCTGCTGTTTTAATAATATATTACCATGCTGCTGTTTTAATAATATATTACAATGCTGCTGTTTTAATAATATATTATCATGCTGCTGTTTTTATACTTTCTAAGTATAGATAGTGAAGCTTCTTTAATAATATATTACCATGCTGCTGTTTTAATAATATATTACAATGCTGCTGTTTTAATAATATATTACCATGCTGCTGTTTTAATAATATATTACAATGCTGCTGTTTTAATAATATATTATCATGCTGCTGTTTTTATACTTTCTAAGTATAGATAGTGAAGCTTCTTTAATAATATATTACCATGCTGCTGTTTTAATAATATATTATCATGCTGCTGTTTTAATAATATATTACCATGCTGCTGTTTTAATAATATATTACCATGCTGTTGTTTTAATAATATATTATCATGCTGCTGTTTTAATAATATATTACTATGCTGCTGTTTTAATAACCATGCTGCTGTTTTAATAATATATTACCATGCTGCTGTTTTAATAATATATTACCATGCTGCTGTTTTAATAATATATTACAATGCTGCTGTTTTAATAATATATTACCATGCTGTTGTTTTAATAATATATTATCATGCTGCTGTTTTAATAATATATTATCATGCTGCTGTTTTAATAATATATTATCATGCTGCTGTTTTAATAATATATTACCATGCTACTGTTTTAATAATATATTACCATGCTGCTGTTTTAATAATATATTATCATGCTGCTGTTTTAATAATATATTACCATGCTGCTGTTTTAATAATATATTACCATGCTGCTGTTTTAATAATATATTATCATGCTGCTGTTTTAATAATATATTATCATGCTGCTGTTTTAATAATATATTACCATGCTGTTGTTTTAATAATATATTACCATGCTGCTGTTTTAATAATATATTACCATGCTGCTGTTTTAATAATATATTACCATGCTGCTGTTTTAATAATATATTACCATGCTGCTGTTTTAATAATATATTATCATGCTGCTGTTTTAATAATATATTATCATGCTGCTGTTTTAATAATATATTATCATGCTGCTGTTTTAATAATATATTATCATGCTGCTGTTTTAATAATATATTATCATGCTGCTGTTTTAATAATATATTACCATGTTGCTGTTTTAATAATATATTATCATGTTGCTGTTTTAATAATATATTATCATGCTGCTGTTTTAATAATATATTACCATGCTGCTGTTTTAATAATATATTATCATGCTGCTGTTTTAATAATATATTACCATGCTGCTGTTTTAATAATATATTATCATGCTGCTGTTTTAATAATATATTATCATGCTGCTGTTTTAATAATATATTACCATGCTGCTGTTTTAATAATATATTATCATGCTGCTGTTTTAATAATATATTATCATGCTGCTGTTTTTATACTTTCTGTGAAAAGTTATTTGCTGGTGCTGCTCTACCTAAATAACATAAAATGTTTGTTTTATAATAAAATATAATTTATTCAGTCATCGTTCAATGTTAAGCATTGTACTCACTCACAAAATGATGCAACAAAAAACACCTGATTGCATTTTTAAAAGTATTTATTAACTATAATAGAATAGAAATGCATTAATTATTCTGAAAAGATAGCCACTGATAATGGTAGACAGCCTTTCAGCCTTTCCAGCAAGCTCTTCTGTCTCAGTGATGGAGACAGGAGGTGAAGCATGGTGATTCCATGCATCGCTTCATCCACCCTTCCATCACCATCCATCCTTCCTTCCTTCCTTCCTCACTTCATTCTTCCTTCCATCCTCCATCTATCCATCTATCCATCCCTCCATCTCTCCCTCTGTCCATCCATCCACCCCTCCATCCATCCATCCATCGCTCCCTCTGTCCATCCATCCACCCCTCCATCCATCCATCCATCTCTCCCTCTGTCCATCCATCCACCCCTCCATCCATCCATCCATCGCTCCCTCTGTCCATCCATCCACCCCTCCATCCATCCATCCATCGCTCCCTCTGTCCATCCATCCACCCCTCCATCCATCCTTCCATCTCTCCCTCTGTCCATCCATCCACCCCTCCATCCATCCATCCATCGCTCCCTCTGTCCATCCATCCACCCCTCCATCCATCCATCCATCGCTCCCTCTGTCCATCCATCCACCCCTCCTTCCATCCATCCATCGCTCCCTCTGTCCATCCATCCACCCCTCCATCCATCCCTCCATCTCTCCCTCTGTCCATCCATCCACCCCTCCATCCCTCTGTCCATCCATCCATTCATCCATCCATCTCTCCCTCTGTCCATCCATCCATCCATCTATCTATCTATCTATCTATCTATCTATCTATCTATCTATCTATCTATCTATCTATCTATCTATCTATCTATCTATCTATCTATCTATCTATCTATCTATCTATCTATCTATCTATCTATCTATCTATCTATCTATCTATCTATCTATCTATCTATCTATCTATCTATCTATCCATCCATCCATCCATCCATCCATCCCTCCATCCACCACTCCATCCTTCCATCTATCTATCCACCCCTCCATCCATCCTTCTATCTATCCATCCATCCTTCCATCTATCTATCCACCCCTCCATCCATCCTTTCTTACATCTATCTATCCATCCCTCCATCCATCCATCCTTCCATCTATCTATCCATCCATCCATCCATCCCTCCATCCCTCCATCTATCTATCATCCCTCCATCCATCCTTCCATCCATCCATCCATCCCTCCATCCCTCCTTTCTTCCATCTATCTATCCACCCCTCCATCCATCCTTCCATCTATCTATCCATCCATCCATCCATCCATCCCTCCATCCCTCCTTCCTTCCATCTATCTATCCATCCCTCCATCCATCCTTCCATCCATCCATCCATCCATCCATCCATCCATCCATCCATCCATCCATCCATCCATCCATCCATCCATCTATCCACCCCTCCACCCATCCTTCCATCTATCTATACATCCCTCCATCCATCCTTCCATCTATCTATCCACCCATCCATCCATCCTTCCATCTCTCCCTCTGTCCATCCATCCACCCCTCCATCCATCCATCCACCCCTCCATCCATCCTTCCATCTATCTATCCACCCCTCCATCCATCCTTCTATCTATCCATCCATCTATCTATCCATCCATCCATCCTTCCATCTATCTATCCATCCCTCCTTCCATCTATCTATCCACCCCTCCATCTATCCTTCCTTCCATCTATCTATCCATCCCTCCATCCATCCATCCCTCCATCTATCTATCCACCCCTCCATCCTTCCATCTATCTATCCATCCATCCCTCCTTCCATCCATCTATCCTTCCATCTATCTATCCATCCCTCCATCCATCCATCTATCCATCCATCCTTCCATCTATCTATCCATCCCTCCATCCATCCATCCCTCCATCTATCTATCCACCCCTCCATCCATCCTTCCATATATCTATCCACCCCTCCATCCATCCATCCTTCCATCTATCTATCAACCCCTCCATCCATCCATCCATCCTTCCATCTATCCATCCACCCCTCCATCCATCCTTCCATCTCTCCCTCTGTCCATCCATCCGTCCATCCATCCATCCATCCATCCATCCATCCATCCATCCATCCATCCATCCATCCATCCATCCATCCATCCATCCATCCCTCCATCCACCCCTCCATCTATCTATCATCCATCTATCCATCCCTCCATCCATCCATCCCTCCATCTATCTATCCACCCCTCCATCCATCCTTCCATATATCTATCCACCCCTCCATCCATCCATCCTTCCATCTATCTATCAACCCCTCCATCCATCCATCCATCCATCCTTCCATCTATCTATCCACCCCTCCATCCATCCTTCCATCTCTCCCTCTGTCCATCCATCCGTCCATCCATCCATCCATCCATCCATCCATCCATCCCTCCATCCACCCCTCCATCTATCTATCATCCATCCTTCCATCTATCTATTCACCCCTCCATCCATCCATCCTTCCATCTATCTATCAACCCCTCCATCCATCCTTCCATCTATCTATCAACCCCTCCATCCATCCATCCTTCCATCTATCTATCTATCCATCCCTCCATCCATCCTTCCATCTCTCCCTCTGTCCATCCATCCATCCATTCATCCATCCATCCATCCACCCCTCCATCTATCTATCCACCCCTCCATCCATCCTTCCATCTATCCATCCACCCCTCCATCCATCCTTCCATCTCTCCCTCTGTCCATCCATCCATCCTTCCTTCCATCTATCTATCCACCCCTCCATCCATCCTTCCATCTATCTATCCATCCCTCCATCCATCCTTCCATCTATCTATCCATCCCTCCATCCATCCTTCCATCTCTCCCTCTGTCCATCCATCCATCCATCCATCCATCCATCCATCCATCCATCCATCCATCCATCCATCCATCCATCCTTCCATCTATCTATCCACCCCTCCATCCATCCTTCCATCTCTCCCTCTGTCCATCCATGCACCCATCCCTCCATCCACCCCTCCATCCAGCCACCCCTCCATCCATCCATCCTTCCATCTATCTATCCATCCCTCCCTCCATCCATCCTTCCTTCCTTCCATCTATCTATCTACCCCTCCATCCATCTATCCATTCCTCCATCCACACCTCCATTCATCCATCCACCCCTCCATCCATCCTTCCATCTATTTATCCACCCCTCCATACATACATCCTTCCATCTATATATCCACCCCTCCATCCATCCTTCCATCTATCTATCCACCCCTCCATCCATCCTTCCATTTATCCATCCACCCCTCCATCCACCCCTCCATCCATCCTTCCATCTATCTATCCACCCCTCCATCCATCCTTCCATTTATCCATCCACCCCTCCATCCACCCCTCCATCCATCCTTCCATCTATCTATCCATCCATCCCTCCATCCATCCTTCCATCTATCCATCCACCCCTCCATCCATCCTTCCATCTATCTATCCATCCCTCCATCCATCTCTGTATAGCGTGTGTGTCTAGCCTTAGCGAAGCCCACCCTGTCCTGTCCCCGGTCATAGATGCTATAGAATTCAGAGAGGAACACGTCCCCTAGGATCCACAGAGGATCCACCGAGGAGGGCAGATCATTCGCCTGGAACCCACTGAAACAGAT